CAAAACAGCAAACTCCCTAGTTCAGTAAGAGACCCTATCTCCAAAGAAATAAAAGTGGGGAAGCAAATGAGGGCAACATCCTAACATCAACCTCTGACCTCCTGTTCTACTTTGTTTCTCCATTGCTAGAACAAAACACTGACCACTACCAACTTGGGGAGGAAAGGGTTTATTTGGCTTACATTTCCCAGGGTCATACTTCATCACTGAGGGAGCCCAACATAGGAACTCGGGGCAGAAACCTGGAGGCAGGCGCTGAAGCACAGGCCATGGAGGAACGCTGCTTACTGGCTTGCTCCCCTGGCCCCTGCTCAGCCTGCTTTCTTACACAACACGGGCCCACCTGCCCAGGGGTGGCACCACCCACAGTGGGCTGGGCCCTCCCACATCACTCAATAATCAAGGAGATGCCCCACAGACTGGCCACAGGCCAGTCCAATGGATGAAACTCCCCAGTCGAGGCTCCCTCAGCCCAGGTGTGTCAAGCTGACAACTAAAGCTGTCCAGCACACTCCACACACCTGTACAGGCCAGTGCACCCACAGACACACAGGTGCACATGCAAACACAGAGAACACAATAACTTATTCCTGCTTATCAATAAAAAAATTCAAGGTTGAGGGATGCTGAGGTTGAGAGATAGCTAAGAGGTTAAGCGCGCGCACTGCTTGCAGAAGATCCACATTCCTTTCACCCATTCACACTGGGCAGCATACAACCACCTGTAACTCCAACTCCAGGGGATACGATGTCCCCATCCGACCTCCACAGGAACCTGCACTCGTGCACATACATGCCCCCACATACACATAATTTTAAAATACTAAAAATAAATATTTAAATATTTCAAATGCTAATTCAAATAAAACAGGTTTTTGCTTTTTTTGGCTTTGAGTTGGGGGGGATGAGTTGTTTTGTTTTGCATTTGTTTCCCCTTTTTTGAGATGGTCTCACTGCCTTGGCTGGAACCCAGAGATCTGCCTGCCTGTCTCCTAGCTGAGATTAAAGGTTGCACCCATCTGGCTGTCTTCACTGAAGCAGGGTCTCACTCTACAGCCCAGGCTCTCCTGAAACTCATGCAATCCAGCCTTAGCTCAAACCCATGGTCCTCCTGTCTCAGCTTCCGAAATGCTAGGATTGTAGGTGTGAGCTGCCATGCTGGCTTCCACTGTTTCATTTGTAATAAGTTAACAAGCTAATTATAAAATTTATAGAGAAAGAAAAAGCAGCCATAATAGCAAAAGCAAACTTGAAGATAAAGTTGGTAGACTAACCTACTTTGTCTGCAAGACTGACTAGGTTATGTTAATCGAGAGAGTGTGGTACCGTGGCCAGACCCGAGGAATCAACACAGCTGGAGAGCACTTAGAAACATAAAGCAAGTAAATCCTCAGTGAGGACCCCAGATCAGTCCAGCAGAGGAAGGAAAGTCGTGAGAAATGGTGCTGCGACACAGGTGCACTTACACACATGTAGACAATACATGCATACACATGAAATATAAATAAAACATTTTTAAAAAAGAAATGGTGCTGGAATGACCAGTTATCCACCGGAAGTCCACACACTGCACACGTTATCACTTGAGATGACTCTTACTGAAGTGTCAAAGTTCATCCAAAAAGGCTTTAGTGGGAATACGGGTTTGCTGCTCAGGGCCGGCAGTTCTCTTAAGTCATGAAAAGCAACTAACAACAACGTTTAAGCATCTCGTCAAAAAAGCGCAGGGGCTGGAGAGGTGGCTGAGATGGCTGTTCTTGCAGAGGACCCGGGTTCGAATCCCAGCACCCACAGGGCAGCTAACAACTGTCATAACTCCAGTCCCAGGGGATCCGACAGCCTCTTCTGACCTCCGCAGGCATTGCACGACATGGGTGCACTTACCTACATGCAGGCAATACACACATACACATAATAAAATATTTTTTGAAAAGCTCGATAAAAAATAATCAAAATAAAAAATTTTGTTCATCAGAAGATAAAGGAAATAGCCACAAATTGGTAAAAAAAAAAAAATTGTTAGTCAACATGTATCTGACAATGAACTTCTATCAGAGTGAAAAATTCCTAGAACTCAGAAAGACAAATGATAGACCCGTCTATAAAGGATAAACAGATGAGGGCGCCAAGAGTGGTGGTGCACACCTGCAATCCCAGCAGGAGGGAGGGAGGGAGACCCTGTCTCATAAAGCAAATAAGGGGCCAGAAAGATGGCTCAGCAGTTGAGATGAGAGCACTTGCTGCTCTTGTAGAGGACCTGGGTTCAATTCCAGCACCCACAGCACACAGAGGCTCACAACCATCAGTAACTCCAGTTCCAGGGCATATGACGTCCTCTTCAGGCCTCCACAGGCACATGCTCTCTCTCTCTCTCTCTCTCTCTCACACACACACACACACACACACACACACACGCATGCGTGTACATGCACGGGGGTGTGCAAATAAAAAACTCCCATGGGAAAAATTTGCCTGGTGGGCCCCATCCCACTGAAATCAGTTCAATGACATTAAATGCCTCCATCTGGTCAAAATCAATCATCCCAGAAATGGACACTGGCAAGGGTGCCCTGCTCCATGCACGTTCCCAGGGTCTGACCATGGAGTACTCCTGGCTGGCCATGCAGTGTTGGCCACTGCCGTCAGGCAAGTGGCTTGTCTCGGACCACTCTCCTGTCCCTGCTGAGGAAGACAAGACTTCCAAGGACTTCGGTTAAAGTCTCCACTTATTTTTATTTATTTTATTTTATTTTTTTACAAAAATCCAACATAAGACCATTGTGCTCATGGTGGGAAAGGGGAGGGGCAGGGGGACAGAGCATGTTACCAGAGCCTCCCCTTCAGAGCAGCCCTGGCAGCCCGGAACACTGCTGGGTGAAGGTCCACCAGCCTGGGAGCACCCTGGAGGCTGTCACTGCCAGTGACCCATGCCCTCAAGGTTGACAGCAACTGGAAAACAAAGCTGTCCTGGTTCTGGGAGCCGAGACTCAGAAACCCGGCATGACCTCCGGCAGGAGTCCGCTGTAGGAGGTGAGCAGCATCACACACCAGGCAGGCTCCCCAGCCTGCAGTAGGGCAGTCACTTCTGGCTATGTCCCCCGTCTCCACTACCTAAGTGACATGCAGCATCCAGCCACTTTGCCTCTGCCTCCTGCTTCTGAGCAGAGGCCTTCGGGAACAGTCACTGCCCACACAGCTTGCTGTTGGAGTCTTTCAGTCAGTGTCTCACCAGGCCCAGAGACCTAGCCTTACAGGATGCTGTGACAAGACATCATAGTGTCCCAGCAACACATTTCCAAGGTACCCATGAGTGACTGACAACCCTCGGTGCCCCATGGATCTCACCCTGCAGAGTGGGTCTCAGCACACAGACTGTGTTTCTCATCAGGTCCTGCTCTGTAGTTTATAGGTTCCTCACATTAAAAGAACAAGATGGGGCTGAGGATGGGGTTCAGTGGTCGAATACTTGTCTAGGATGCCCAGAGCCCTAGGTTCCACCCCAGTACTGAGGGGAAAAAAAAAAAAAAAAAAAAGATAAAATAGCAGCCACATGTATCTCAAAACACCAACCACACTCTTTGGCTCCCCTGAGGGAAGGCTACGGCTACAAAAGAATAGTCAGAGCTCAAGGAAAGGGCAACTAGAAAGTAAGGGTGCTGGACCCTTTTGTGGGTTGCCCAGAACCAAACGTCCCAGGTCTCAGATGGTGGGTACAAGACGTCACCAGTGGGAAGGTCTGGAGCAGCCTGGTCCTGCCACCCAGAGAGAAGCTTAGGGAGGCCAGGCCAGCCCTGCAGCAAGAGGATCTACAGAAAGAGCCAGGCTACAAGTGACACGCAAAGAGGACTCAGGACAGCAGGCATTCAAGAATGTACCCAAGAAGCAGCACAGGATGTCAAGGCCTAGGAAGACGGAACTGGCTTAAGGCATGTGCATGACCAGGACAGACCTGAGCTCTGGTGCAGCTGATGGAAACACCCTCAGCTCCATTTCGACAAGTGGGGCTCGGGAACACAGAAGTCACGGCTAAGCCCCCGACATCACTAACACTTCTGGGTTCCTCTGCTGTCACCATGACTAAAATTTGCTTATTTCACTTTCAGCCCTGGAAACAGCACTTGAACAGCAGTGGGAGGTGGCGACGGGGTGGGAATGTTTCCTTCCAAGGCTGGACTGGAGCTCACCTAGCAAGTCACAGTCTCCAGGTTCTAGTACACACCAAACCTTCCTATAGCCATAGCATCAGGGTCCCAACTGCCACAGGGAGCATATCAGAGCTGGAGGCCCAGAGATGAGAGGTGAATTTCACCAAGGTATTCATCCCAAGCCAAGTACCTTGCTATAAGACAATAGGCCGGGATCCTCAAAGGACAGAAAGCTCCCAGCCTCCATGCCGTGGGTGCACTGCAGAGAGCACAGCCTGCAGCTTTCCTATCGTCTCCTCCAAGAGGAGCAGGCCCATTGCCCAGGGGCCACACGGGTCACAGGGGCCAGCAAAGAGACTGCGGCAGTGCAGGCCTCATCCCACCTCACCATGTGCTTCCTTAGCCTCTCAGACTCAGAGAAAATGGAAGCAGGAGTAAGCCTGCAGACACGTGCCACCCAACAACCAACCCTGCACCCACTGCACCTGCTGCCCCCACTGTGCCTGCTCCCCCGCCTCCATCGGAGGACAACTATTCCCATCACTGACTGGCAACAGGAAGGGCAGGAACAGACCTGGTATCTGCCTTGTCCAAGGTCAAAAGAAGGCCAAGTCTTCTTCTTTCCATACCTATGCACCCACTACCACTGGCAGGATGTGCCCTGTAAATGACACTTCAGGTCCCCTGGGACCAGGATCTCTCCACTAAATACAGAGCACGAGGAGCCGCACAGCCTCCTCCCTCGGAGAAATTGGCAAAAATCTCAGATGCCCCCCCACCCCTGCAAATATATATATATATGTATACACATATACATATGTATATATACGCACACATATAAATAAGCTTTGAAGGGCAGATGTGAAACTCTCTTTAAATAAAATAGTTGTTCTTGAAAAACCACGAGCCAGCCATCCTGGGCTTATGAACTCGTGACTCTCCAGAGTCCCCGTGGTCCTCAGTGTTCACTATCTGGCAGTGCTCTGTGTGGAAGCCCCGAGTCTGCTGACTAGGGTTCAGCTGACCAGGGTTCCAGGCCCAGTGTGGCCGACTTCAAGATAAAGGCAGCTACTCTCTCTCCATGCTTCCTGCTGCCTCTCTCAGCAGAGGGTCTGGGCCACCCACCCAGCAGATGTCCCCAAGGTCCTTCAATGCCTGGGAACCTTGGGAGTAAGCTCCCTCACTCTGCCCATCCTCTCCGCAAAACCTGCAACAGCCCTAAATGAACTTGAAGCACTTGGTCTTGTCATGGGGCAGGCGGGTCTTGAAGAGCACAGAGTCCACCCTGAACTGCGTGTACAGGAGGGGCATATAGCCATACACCTTGACGAAGAAGTTGATACACTTGTGCCGCTCGTGGAAGTGGGAGTCATCATGTGACAGGGCTTGAGGACACCCTGGGCATCGGAAAGTCCACCGCGATGTCACCTGGGGAAAGGGGAGAGACAGCAGGATAAGAAGCACAGTATTGTACCGCTGCTGCCCAAAAGCTGACAGCTTGGCTACTCCACTGCCACGCTGCCAAGAAGCCGCTGAGCCCCAAGGCTGCAACCCACAGCCCAGCATGCTGTGTCCAACCCAAACCACCTGTACGTAGTGGAGAGCAGAAGCCGTAACGTGCTCACTGTTACTTATCTAAGCAAATCTGCTTCCAGTATTTATCCAGGTTCCAGAGCAAGATGTTCATACAAAGTTACTCATTTCATTGATATTTTTAATAGCAAAATACTAGAAGTACACCTGAAACACAACTAGTTAGAAAATTATAAAATACTACATAGTCACTAAAAAGATGGTTAAGAAAATTATATTTTAAAACATCAGAAATGGTTCCAGTCTAATTATTAAGAAATTTCACACAACTAGGGGCTGGAGAGATGGCTCAGCGGCTAAAAGCACTGGCTGCTCTTAAAGAGAACCCAGGTTCTGTCCCTAGCACTCACATGGAGGCTAACAACTGTCCATAACTCCAGTTCCAGGGGACTTGACACCCTCTTCTGAACTCTGTGGGCATTACACAACACAGGTGCACTTACACACATGCAGAATACACTCTTACACATAAAATAAAAAGAATATTTTTAAAAAAGATTTCACACAATTAGAAAAAGATGAAGAATCATATGACATTGTCATCACAAACAGTGGCAGCCACAGCACAGGAGCAACTGCTCTGTGAGCCGAGCTGGAGCCTGCACTAGGACCCTGCAGGACAGACAGTACCCAGGGCAGAGGGAAGGCCCCAGAGAGACACAGAGGAAAAAGGCTTCTTCTCATGTCTGACTTGGAGCAGAAAGCGAACTGCACCAGTCGCCTCTGGAAGCAGCCCACGGGGCTCGGGTGGGGGCCGAAGCCACTAAGCCCAGAGATGCTGCGGCCTCACCAGGTCTCAAGTAGGCACTGAGCGCAGGCACAGGAGGGAGTGCAAACGCTCACTCACTGCACAAACCTGGCCACATGGGAAGACCCTGCAGGAAGCAATGACAGGGGACAGAGAGGACAGGTGGGGGGCAGTGCACAAGTGAGGGGACACTTGTCCCCTTTCTTGTGTCTGCTAGGAGCACATGGAACAGCAGACTGGAACAGTGAGTGCACAAGCAAGGTGCAGAGGTGCCTAAAAATATATATTAAATTAGATGTTCGACACATGAGCGTAAAGAGAAACCAGTGGGGAAAGGGTCCTAAACTTACTGCCCAGAATGGGTGCTCCTGGGGGGGAAGAGAGACATATGGAAGCTAGATTCAGAGACAGGACAGCGTGAGCTCATCCACGAAGGTCAGGGGAACACTGATCCTAGCACAGAAATGGGACAGAGGAGAACTCAGGAATCTGGACACAAGGGGACTTCCGTGGAATATCACATCAGTTACGGTCTCCTAGCTGTGCCGAGGCACAGCTGCTCCCTCAACACCTCCCCCCACGTCCCCTCCCTGTGCACTGACCCCCACCTGTCCCCTCTCTTGTGCACTGCTCCCCGACCTGACCCCTCACTTGCACACTGCCCTCCCACTAGCCGTCCATGTGTTTCTAACCATGTTAGTAAAAACATTTTTGGGCTGAGGCCCCAATGCATTTTTTTTTAATTATTTTATTATTTTATTTTATTTATGTGTATGCGTGTATTGTCTGCATGTAAAAGTGCACCCATGTCATGCAATGCCTGCAGAGGACAGAAGAGGCCATCAGATCCCCTGGAACTGGAGTTATAGACAGTTGTTAGCTGCCATGTGGGTGCTAGGATTCAAACCAGGGTCTTCTGCAAGAACCAGTGTTCTTAACCACTGAGCCATCTTTCCAACCCCCCCCCATGCATTTATAAATATACATTTAACTACATAATAATACATACAGCCAGACGTGGTAGTGCACACCTTTAATCCCAGGACTTGAGAGGCAGAGGCAGGTGGATCTCTGTGAGTTCAAGGCCACCCTGGTCTACATAGTGAGTTCCAGGACAGCTGGGGCTACAGGAAGACCCTGTCTCAAAAAGACCAAAAAAAAAAAAAAAAAAAAAACCCAAAAAGGAAATTAACACAAACTAAAGTCTAAATACTAATTCAACCAATCCTGTGGGCTCTATTATAATGGGAATTTTGAAGGAAAACTTGGTGGTCATAAGGAAAATCCTCAGTGGGTGCTGAGAGTCTCCGTTCATTACCACAGAACAGAATTACAGCCAGGCTGGTGTGACCCCTCCCTGTATGCTGAGCACCTCAGCCACCTGCCTCACTTTCCCAGCTTTTTCTCCCTGGTGGTACTGGGGATTGAACCTAGGCCTTCTCACATACTAGGCAAGTACCCCACCAGTGATCTATACCCCAGTCTACTCTTCATGCTTTCTACATGAGCTTTTCATCCTTTATTTTGAAAGAAGCCTATTTTCTTAGCTCTTTCTCCTTGAAAAAACAATGTATTATTCAAGGTAATAACATGCTAATATTCAGAGTTTCATTAATCCCATCATCTTCAAGTCAGTGTTATTAAGATGCACAGCACTAAAGAACACTTGAGCCAGGCACGGTGGTGTGTGTCTCTGGTAATACCAGGCAGGAGGATCCCGACAATGTCAAGGTCAGTTGGGCCACGTAGTGAGACCATGAAGGTGATCAAGAAGGAAGTGTGCAATGAAACAGTAATCACACTCAGAATGTAAGGAATAAACTAGGAACTTGAAAACATTCTTAATTTACGGAATATTGACATTAAAAAGTAAAGAGGAGAGGGGAGGGGAGGACTAAAAGCAATTAACCTTAAAAATACTAAAACGATGAAAATTTGAGGTAATCAAAGAAAAAAATTACATCATTTTTGTATCTGTAGTAGCATATATACACAATGTTATTAACATTAGGTAAATGAAAATTTATTTCAAACTGATTCTGCTATGAAGTAAATATTCAGACTCAGAATATAAACGAATGAACTAAAAATCTGAAAACATTAAGTTCTGGCCCAAACCTATGTAAAGAGTCAGAATGTACTGACTCCATTTTGGCTAGCTTCTTCAGACAAGCCCAGACAAGCCGAGGCATGTTGTAAAATTTCCAGTTGCTACCGCCCCCCCCACACACACCCCAGGAAGCTACAGATTAAGCAAGCCCTGGACATGTAAAAGCTTTATATGGTATAAACAGAAACTTCTGGCCCTAAAGATAATAGTCAGCACATTCCAATGCCCTGAAGACAGCCCGGGCCAATAAGGATCTTCCCCATACTCAGGATATGAGGCCATCCAATCATTTTAAAGGATGCTTGGCAAGGGCAGGTTTCTATGAAGTTCCCCAATAAAAGCCCCTGACAGCTATTGTTCAAGGCTAGACTCCATCTTTGGCTTGTGGAGACTATGCCCAGCTAGCTGTGAATTTGGTTGCCTTATGCTCTAAATTTCTGAATAAACCTTTTATACAATTTTCTCTCTGTGGGAATTATTCTCGATTCTCGGACCCTAACATTTTGGGGGCTCGTCTGGGATCAGGAATAGAGACCCCCAGACCCATGGGTGCACGCCATTGGAGCCGGCCTTGGTAAGTTCTGCCTGCTTTTGCTTCCTCTCTCTCTCCTGCTTTTCAGTAGTCTGGACATCCTGGGACTCAACGGACATCAGGTGGACACGCTATTGATCCCAAAGCTGGAGGAGAACAGGGGACACCCTGATTCCTCCTCTGATAGGGGGTTGTGCTCCAGCCTGACGTAGAATCCATGCCAGAAACTTCTGGCCCTAAGATAACAGTCAGCACATTCCAATGCCCTGAAGACAGCCTGGGCCAATAAAGATCTTCCCAGTACTCAGGATATGGGGTCATCCAATCATTTTAAAGGATGCTTGGCGAGCGCAGGTTTCTATGGAGTTCCCCAATAAAAGCCCCTGACAGCTATTGTTCAAGGCCAGACTCCATCTTTGGCTCGTGGAGACTATGCCCAGCTAGCTGTGAATTTGGTTGCCTTATGCTCTAAATTTCTGAATAAACCTTTTATACGATTTTCTCTGCATCTGTGGGAAATATTCTCAATTCTTGGACCCTTAACACTATGCGGCAGCTCAGAAGCAAAATCACAAGTCACGTTTCTGGAATTCTAAGAGTTTCTCTGTTTAATAACTTTACTTATGTACCAAGCACAATTCTCTTTCATTTGTTTGTTTTGAGATAGAGTCTCACTATGTGGCCCTGGTTGGCTTGGAACTGCAGACCAGACTGGCTTCAATCCTATCTGCCTCTGTCCCCAAGTGCTGGGGTTAAAGATAAAAACAGACACCACCATCCCTTGCCTGCACAATTTTTAAACCTTTTTTTTTTGGTCTTTTTAAGACAGGGTTTCCCTGTAGCCCCAGCTGTCCTGGAACTCACTATGTAGACCAGGCTGGCCTTGAACTCACAGAGATACACCTGCCTCTGCCTCTGGAGTGCTGGGATTAAAGGCATGCGCTACCACGCCCAGCCCAAATACCATTCTAAAATGCTTTGCAAATCTTAACTCTAAGATTCTTACATTTCTTGATGGACACACCCACCCAACTTCACTCTCCCATTCAGCAGTCTGCAGAAGCCTGTGGACTCCTTTAGAAATGTCTCAGAATATATAAAGTGCACAGGATCACACCGTAAACAAACTAAGTTCAGTGACCATGCTTGATGAATGCACGAAGTTAACAATACCATCGCTTTGCAGCAGTGATCAACAATACTACTTTGATGTATTGCAGCTCACATAATGGGATATAAAAATAGCTGTGATTCCTTTTGGCAACAAATCAGCTGCTCCATCTACCCTTAGAAATGGTAGCCTATTTCCTAACTGAGGTGAATACTCCCTAGTAATGATGAGTACAATGAAAGCTGTCCCATCTGGCCAACCAACTTCAAACCCTTGGGTTCTATCCACTACCTGCAGAAGCACAAGCCCCATCCCACAATCCCACTGACCAGCGGTGAGGGGCAGCCTTGTGCACCTTCCAGAGCAGGCTGAGGTGTGGTGTGTTACAGGCCATGCTACAGCAAACAAAACAATGGAGTTCATATGCACACACCATCTCAGTGGTAACAGGGCCTCACCTTGATGGGGGGTTTCCGTGTGATGTGGGAGACAAGGAAGTTCATGGCGATATCCTCACAGTTGATGTATTCATCCACCATATCTCGGATGGCCTGGGGCATCACATAAGAATACAGGTAGGCATAATACTGTCAGGGGAAGAAAGAATCGCATACTGTTAGAGACCACAGCTCTTTGGCTTTTACCAAAAAAAGATGCACAGCTCTAGGGGCTCTAGACAATATGTAAAGGTGCTTAGGGGGTGGCAAGAGCTGGGGTGCATGGTTGGCATTTAGGGAGGTGGAACAAGGGGTTCTGAACAACCTGAAATGTAGACCTTCTTCAGTAAAGGATGGTCCCACTCCTGTGGAATCATCCCCTCCTGTGAGAGACATCTCCCCCTCCATGGAATCTGCTTGCTGTCTCAGTAATGTTAAAATCAATACAAAAGTTTGTCAAAACAAGTCAGACACTGGTTCAGCTGAACAACATTCTACTCTGACAGTGGCGATAAGAGCTTTGGGAAGAGCCTGTTTACCTTTGTGGAGCTCAGTAAATCACAGAACCATGAGACATCCACTCACTGCCTCACTAATGACTCTTCAATCTCACCACCTCTCAACACTGCCACTGGCTGCTCCTGGGCCAAAAGCCATCATGGCCTCTTGCCTGGATCACTCTCACATCTCCTAAGAACTCTGCTGTCCTGTTTCTTCCCCTCCACTATTCTCAGCACGGCAGAGGGACCAGGTAAAACCACAGCTGAACACAGCACCTTTGACTCCAAGCTCTCCATGGGCTCCCATCAAAGGAGCAGCCAAGACTGTCTGCAACGCCTCATGAAGCTGGACATAGTGGCACACACCAGCAAGTACAGCTACTGAAGGGGCTGAGGCAAGAGGATCACAAGTTCCAGGCCAGCCTGGCCAGCAGAGAAGTCTCAAACCCACAAAGCAGAGTGCTGAAGGCACGCCAACCTACCAGCAAATGCTGGCTGTTACATTTCAGAAATTCTGTGAGCTTTTTGTTGAACACAACCATTTTAAGAATGTAATTACAGGGCTGGGATAGCGTGCCTGGCCAGCACTTCCAAAGCCCTAGGTTGGACCCAGCACTGCCAAAAATAAACACACATGAATTAAAATGATACATTTAATAAAAAATTAAGTAGTAAGAGCCAGGTGCAGAGGTAACGTGCAATCTCAGCATCCAGAGACAGAGACAGGAGGGTCACTAACTAGCTCAAGACCAGCCTAGGTTTTGAATCTACATGAGATCCTGTCTCAAAAGTAAAAATAAATAAAAATTGACGCGATAAACTGCTTTCCTTCTTGTCCTATTATTTCTTAGGGTTGGGTGCTGACAGGATCTGGTGATGGATGATACGGACTATATCCGTTGGAGACCAAGATGGCTGGACTCGGGACAAGTTAGGCCTGAACTTTTGAGCAGGCTACAGCCTCTGCTAAAAGGGGCAAAGCACTGAAAACAGTGTCTCACAGCCCTGTCATGTGGAACACTGCAATGACTAGCAGAGGAGCTGGCCAGGTTAAAAGTTTACAGTCTCTTTGTTCTGAGAAAAACATCTTGACTTCCTTGATCTACAGGTGAAAAACAGCCTAATCAATAACACCAAGTATGTGTGTAATTAAAATTAAGACATCTTAGTTAATAAGCTCTGACACACTCCCTGGGTCTTTTACAAACGACCCTCTGCCCACGCTAAGGACTGATCAACCTAAGTGACATGTACTATGAACACCCTTTGTCTTTGTCTGAAATGAACTTTACATGCACCCTGCATCCTGCACATGCCCACTAGCCCCTCTTTGATATATAAGCTTGTTGTTAAGAGAATAAAGTTGACTTGTTAGCTTATTGTGAAGTAAAGCTCAAGTCCCAGAGTCGTTACTCTGCCGTCGATCAAGTCTCTCTGTTCCTGGAGCTGGGCCCCCCACTAAGTGAAGCAACCCTGAGTTCCCAATATGTATCTATTCAGGATCATGACCTGAACCACGGTGCACAACTGCATGTTTCTTCCCAGCTCCAGGGTCAGTAATTCATGCAGAAAGCCTGAATCCGTCAAAATAAGAATATACCAGAGGAGCTGACAAACACAACAGAACAGAGTGGGTATACTGCAATACCCTGAAAGCGAGCACCAGGTGAGACCCTTGGTTACACCGGTTCCCATGGTCTGTCATCCCAAGCAGTACACTATGGAATAACATAATGATGACCATACATTTTTATACCAAAGTCATTTGTCAGTTTTACAGAAAAACACTTAAGTTGGTGAACTTAAAGATGAATTTTAGGGGTTTTTTTATTTAAAAAAAAATAGGAAATTCAAATTTGCTAACCCTTTCAATGGCTTGTTACTGTCCTCAGTATGCTAATAAAAATGTATTTGTTAATTAAACATAATCCAGGTGTGGAGGTTTGAATGAGAATATCTCCCATAAGCTTCAAGTATTTGAACATTTTGTCCCAGTTGGTGGTGCTGTTTTGGGAGGTCTTAGAAGGTGTGCCCATGCTGGTGGAAGCACATCACTGGGGGCAGGCTTAGAGGGTTCTTAAGCCTTGCCAGATCTGCAGTTGCTCTTGGTTCCTGTGCCTGCTTGAAGATGTGAGAGCTTAGCTTCTACTCCTACTCTAGTCACCTTGGGTTGCCATGCCTCCCTGCCATGATGGACTGTAATTCCCCTGAACTGTAAGCTCAAATAAACTCTTCTTTTATAAGTTGCTTTGGTCAGTGTTTCTATCAGAGCAGCAGAGAGGGACTAATACACCATGTCTTCGAAGTTAAAATCTTTGTAAGAACTGCCTTTCTGTGTGTGTATGTGTGTGTGTGCACTTTCGCCTGCATGTAGGTGTGGAGGCCAGAGGTCAATATGAAGTGCCTGCCTGTATTACTCTCCACTTTATTTCTGAGACGGGGGCTCTCACTTATTCTGGGAGCTTGCCATTTCAGATAAAATTGGAAGTAGGGGGGGACACATTTCTGCAAGCCAGGTAAGGCTCAAGGACTCTGAGCTTGTAACCTCTGCTCTAGAGTTTCAAAATGAAAATTTTTAATCAAGTGAAGGGATCTGGCCATTAGCTTTCAGAGTGGAGCCTGAGTGCAGTGACAGATCCCTCTGCAGACAAGCAAATTCTCATGGTATGAGCAAACACTCTAAAGTAGGGGCTCCTTCTGAGAAGAGGAGGCGTAAAACAAACTGTTAGGGTGGTTCCTTGGTCCACGTGTCTAACACTGCACTCCCCACACCTTCCACCGTACCTGCAGTTCCCAGACCTGTCAAAGCTCATCCAAGGGACTGGAGACAGATCAGTGGGTAGGGCACTGCAAAGGAGCTACATTTGGATCCCCAGAGCCCATGGATCTCGGAACCCACATGGTAGCTAATAACCATCCATAACTCCAGTTCCATAGGATGTAACACCCTCTTTTGGCCTCAAAGAGCATTGGCTGCATGCATGTGGTGTGTTTACATATATGCACACAAAGCTCTCATACACACAAAATTAAAAAAACTTTAATTTGAAAAAGGCATGGAATGCATAGGCAGTTCTACCGGCAGTCCTTATCCTAACTTTATTCCAGTTATGCTATGTTTGGATGTGTACTGGTTTTTGTTTTGTTGCTGTTTTTAGGTAAGATCTCAAACTCATGAGCCTCATGCTCAGTTTCTTCAAAACTGGGAATAACTCACCCTAGGATAGAGGGGCCATGGTACAAAGCAGGAAAGCTAATGTGAGGGCAACACCCCACACACACACACACAAAGGCTCGCTCTTATTAAGTGCGGGTGGCTGAACCCAGCTTTTCCTTACCTTGTGAAAGAAGGCAGCACCTGTCAGCACCATGGACAGCTCACAGGAGTAGTTGGAATTGTAGAGCCAGGACTGATGAGGGATGTCCCACGCATGGTACCGGCCAGGGAAGCCCACGATGCGGTCCCTTGCCTCTCTCCACACCCTTGAAAACACACACTCAAAGTGAGTGCCTACCTGGCAGGTTCTGGCCCTTAGGCTTTCTTTTTTTGTTCCCCCTTTCTTCAAATCAGATAAAAATAAAAAGTGTCATTACACTCCCCTGCCCATCGCCCACATCTTCTGGCAGACAGCGTCTCTCCAGCCTAACAGAGACCAAGCAGAAGCAGTAACGTGGGCAGGGCTCCAGGAAGCGGCAGGTGCAGCAACCTGCCAACAAGCAGGGATGGCATCAATTCCAGCTTATCTTCATTTCATTTCTTTTAAGGTTTTTAAGTCGGGCGTGGTGACACACGCTTTTAATTCCCACACACACTTTTTAATTCCCACACCCAGGAGGCAGAGGCAGGTGGAGCTCTGTGAGATCAAGACCAGCCTAGTCTACATGAGTTCCAGGCCTGCTGGGGCTACAGGGAGACCCTGTCTCAAAAGACCAAAAACCCAAATCAAAACAAAAAAGTTTGTTTTTAATGAATATGATCCTTTAGCTCCACAGGATATGTATGTAATTTCTTTATCCTGAACTCTTCTTTCTCTTAGAGCCACACATGAAGCTCAGAGACCACAGGGAACAAGTGTGACAAGTGAGGTGTGCCTCATTCCTAAACTGAGCAGGGTCCAGGGAGAAGCCTGTGTGTGCAGCTCTCTACAGAACAGCAGGCGGGGGGGAGTTGATAAAGGCATTCATTTTGCTGCCTAATCCAGGCTGAGCTGGTCTTCTGTGAGGCGTACACTAAATAAAGTATTGACTGAAAATAAGTCCCTCACCGAAACCCAAACATGATTTCATCATGGCGGAGGTGAGCATCATCATCAATAGACAGGATGGCCTCTGTCTCAATCTCATTCCAGGGCAAGAATCGATTGTTCAAACTGTTCTTCTCAGTACGGACCACCTGTGGCCAGGAAGGAAACACAAGAGAAATTAATGCTGCATTAAAGAAGCAATTCCCCCAGTGTCTATAGGTCAAAGAAGAATGTGGCTACTTACTGAAGAGCTGGTCTGATGACTCACTACTGCTGTGTGAAATCTGGCATGTGCCTTACAAGAACAAAAACTGCCTTGGAATTCAAGAACGGTATAGGATTCTTTTTTTTTTAATATTTATTTTTATTTTTTGTGTATGTGTGTATTGCCTGCATGTAGGTAAGTGCACCCATGTCGTGCAATGCCTGCGGAGGACAGAAGAAGCTGTTGGATCCCCTGGAACTGGAGTTAAGGACAGTTGTTAGCTGCCACGTCGGTGCTGGGATTCGAACCTGGGTCTTCTGCAAGAACAGCCAGTGTTCTTAAACGCTGAGCCATCTCTCCGGCCCTGGGTTCTGCATTTTAACCTTTTTTTCATTGCTAACTAATTTTCTGGAAAACAAACTAAACTAAGGCTTATTTTTACATTTGCAATAAATGCCATCTAGGAAATTAAGTTTCCCATGAGAACACAAGGGGTGGAGTAGAACTGAGCTGGGTTTCCAGCTCCAGAACCCACCCCACTGCTCATAAACTTTAAACTCAAAAATGCCTACTCGAGTCAATGTCATTTCTGACCCCCAATTTAAGCCCTTTGGGGGGTGGCTAAACCTTTTTTTAAAGCGCACTGATAAGATCACCTTTTCAGTGCCCACCTGCAGCGCTGATTCTTACACAAAAGCTTTTTCTTTCAGAATGGCCACTCAACTGTTCAGAAGTTCTCTGAGATGCCAGGTTTGGGACTAGGAAAGTGTTTGAATAGCTTCTTAAACCAGCTGTGTGACTTTTTGTCTGAGTTGATTAAAAGAAAGTGACTTTAAAAAAAAAATGTATGTTCAGTAAAACTAAGAACTGTGTCCTCAGCCAATCCCAATTTAAAGAATTTACCTATCCAACAGTGACCCAAATACGCAAAGGTTGGTCGCTTTGTGATATACCTTGTCACGGAAGTCACAGTTCTGCCTAAGGTGTCTTTAGCTACCAGTCTTACTAAGGAGAAAGTGTCACTTTACTCTCAAAAAGCAAACTCTCAGGGAACTGTCTTCTTGGAAAGCCAGACCGGTCACCTTACCTCCTCAGACCCTCTAACATGTGGCAAGGATACCTCCTGCCACAACGAGCACTGCCTAGATGGATACGTCTGGCTCCACCAAGGCATTCCCATGAGCTCACCAAGGTCCTCCAGCTGAAAACCTCTTTCCTTCTGTTCTACCCAAGCTGCCCTCACTCTGAAGACCTTGTGATCCCTCCTGTTTTGCACCCCAACATCCAGCCCTGAGTATCTAAATAATCACCCTATGTTTTTACAGCAGCATCTCACACTTCAATCCATACATTCCAGTGTATTTAGATGCCAATTAACTCATAGCTGAAAGGATGCTGGGAATCACGTGGTCAAGTATCATGGACCATCACTTATACATGGACAAATTAAGCCCAAAATGATGTCATGCACCAGCAACTGCATGAGCAAGAAGTCTCTCTCACGCCTCTCGCTCAAATCCAGTCTTTTGTCTGCTGAACTGGTATTAACATTATGTTTTCAAATCAAAAAGCACCATGGAAAATGAACTATTAACTTCTGTGCCCTCAAGGGGAAAATGCTGCCAATTACAAAAGTATGTGAAATAAGGGATCACTTGGAATGTTACTTCATTAAAGAGCTTTTTTTAGACTCTGCCTCAGTTCCAGAGGAGTTCCAGCCCCAATCAAGACAAAGAAGGACCTGTACAGACACTGCTCCAGATGTCAGAGCCCAGCAACAGACATGGAATCAGTCTTGCCCTGTAGCAAAAAAGAAAAAAAAAGAAAAGAAAAAAAACAAAAAAACGACTTGGTTTATTATAGCCAGGGGTCTCCTGAGCTCAGATTCAGGGGTCACAGAACAAAGGGGCCAAGGAGTAAGTCAGGAAAAACAAGTAGAAACTGTCAAACTGAGTCAAAGAGAGCAGAGAGGACAGACAGACAGACAGACACATAACTCACACAGAATGAGAACAGTGAGGATATTGACAGTGGTAGATGGCATGCCTAAAATGTGTGAGACAGAGGGAGGGGGGCAGGGGAGGGAAGGGGAGAAGAGGAAGGGAGAGAGAGAGAGATACAAAACAAGGATATTGCTCAGTGATAGATGGTTTCCTAGAATGTGTGAGCTGTGGGCTTGCGCCTCAATACCACAGAGAGACAGGGAGACAGAAACCAAAAGACACACACACACACACACACACACACACACACACACACACACACACACACACACACAAGCTCATACACGCATGCACACACACAGGCCAGGAGGGGGAGCCACCAAATCCTTACCTCAGCAGCCTCTGGGCTTTGCAGCCCAGGGAGCTAGAAGGTACCCAAGTGGCAGAAGCCAAAGGGTAAGTTTAGTGATGGCAAAATTCTATCCACTGGGAGATGCGGATGCATCCCGGTCTCAGAGATGTTATCATGTAAGATGCAGAATGGACCACCATAATTCTGCCCACCAGCCACAGCAAATATTCCCAATGAGAAATTCGATTATTCAACATTCACTTTAAGATTATGGATTTTGTGGCTTAATCTCCAGCAGGATTATTTACAGTCAGAGCCTGAGCACTGGGTGACCCAAAGCCCAGCTGCGGAGGTACTGCCTAGACTGGTAGAAACACAGCCTCCAAGCTGCCAGCCCCAAAAGCCCCAGAAGATGGCTCTGCACATTACACACGGAGAAATGCCCTGCAAAGGGCACTGTTCAGCTGTGGAACCCATCCGAAAAGTACTAGAACTCCAATTCTCCACCCAGTGTGGAACCTGGGTGATTTGTCAAATCACCACAGCATTATGGGGTCCCCAGAACCTGGAGTCAGTTATCAGCCAAACAGCCAAACTCTGAGCCCAAAAACAAGAAAAACTGAAGTGATGATAATCTGACCCACAGCACACGCAGAATGATGCTCGCTCACAGGTAAGCCTCTGCATTCTTTTCGGACTGAGTAGGGCAGGCCACAAAAATGGAGATCTGGCAGCAAATGTGATTTGGCCTGGATTCACAACCAGGTTTCTGTAGTTTGCTGAAGTCCTTCAAGATGTCATGAAGCCAGAGAGGAAAGAACAGAGAGTTTTGTTGCAAAGGCTGGCTATGGAGGTGCATGCTTTAATCCCAGCACTTGGGATGATTCAGCACTGAGGATTCCTCAGTTACATAGTAAGTTTCTGGCCAGCCTGGGCTACAGAAGACCCTGCTTCAAAACAAAAAAATACTCTGGCTTCAAAGCTCTAATGCCTTATGCCTATGGCTAAAGCTCAGCAACTATCCGTTTTGGCACCAAAATCAGGACAAAAGCATTCAACATTTCTAAACGCAAACACACAGATCAACACTGGTCTGTAGGAGTTTGAGAAAAACAGACTGAACATAAAAGAAACAGGTCAACCAGAAGGAATCTAAGAGTCTCATTTCTGTTAACGTCTGTTTCAAGTCAAAGCAGTGCCCCATGCCCCAAAACTGGCTGTTCTTCATATTGCACAAGATGGTGCTATGACACACTCCAGGATTCACTTTGGTAGCCTGTGAACACAGAGACTAATTTCCAAATATTACTGCTTTAATTACTAGGATGGCATGACCAGAACAAATAGCACAGTGCCTGGCATATCTTACAAGTACATGGATGAGCCGGGCGTAGTGGCACACACCTTTAATCTCAGCACTCAGGAGGCAGAGGCAAATGGATCTCTGTGAGTTCAAGGCCAGCCTGGTCTATATAGTGAGTTCCAGGCCAGCTGGGGCTACAGGGAAACCCTGTCTCAAAAAGACAAAAAACAAAAACAAAAACAAAAATCAAATACATGGATGAAGTGAGGACATTGGCCCCAGGACACAACTCAGCCTGCTGCTTTCAGAATATGGAATAAAAGATTGCCAAATTTATAGATCAAATTACCAACAAATATGCAATATATTAAACAATACTGAAGTAATGGCAACTACAGAGGAATTAGGAAACCTTTCAGCATTTAATCTTGTTTTCTTCTATGTAGCCCAGGCTGGTCTTGCACTCAGTATGCAACCCAGGCTGGTCTTGTACTCAGTATGCAGCCCAGGCTGGCCCTGAACTTGTGCTCCTCCTGCCTTCAGCTCCTAATTGCTGAGATTACTTGTATACGACAGCACACTTGACTTCTAATCTTGTTTTCTGGAGCAAAAAATCCCTACCTATATAGTCAAGTTAGGAGCAAAGCTCAGTAACATCTCCTGCTTCACATATCACTCCCCAAGAGCTGGCCTTCTGTGGCCATGTCACAGAAGCCCTAGCTGTCTTCATCACAGTGCAGAGGACCAAGACGGCAATCCTGGCCTAGTAAGTCAGTGCTCGCTTAGCGTGTTGTACTTTTCCTCTCGGACTACAGGTGACTCTGTGTAACAACCTCCAGCCTCTAACAATACAGCATGCATATACACTTCTGTACGCAACCCCATTTCAAGTCATCATACAGACAAGAGACGGAAACAGCAGCCTATTCCTCTAACTTCAAGTAGACCACAGAGCTCAGAGGGACGAGGAAAATGAGGTCTGCATCCCACCTGCCTAACGTGCGAGCACCCATGTGAAACAGAGCCTGAGGTGAGCACTGGAAGAAAAGGAGGAGCACTGAATTCTTGGGATTTTTAAGAGACTCAATTACTCAACAAACACCAAGTAGAAGGGGCCAAAAGGAAGAAATTTGAAGGGAAAGGAATTGATTTTCATTCATAACTTGAAATATTAGGCTAATCCATAACAACAACAACAAAAAAAAAAACAAAAAAACAGCATATGCTTTAAATTATGAGCCAAGTCTGTTTAACTTTTAGAAGAGGTGCCGAAGACTGTAGGAAACCAGGATGCCAGGCCCTAGGGTGAGGTGAGCCTAAAACTTATAGGTCCAGGCTGCATCTCT